GCAAGGAGACATGGAACAGGCAGGGCTGGGCTCAGGCTGCAGGGCCCGACGCCCTCCTGGCAGACACATGCCCTGAGTCTTGGTCTGAAATCACCCTAACCAAGCCAGGTCTTGGGGAGGAGGGTCTGGCTTACAGGAGAGAAGGTCAACCTCTCACTGCCTGGGCATGTCCAGGCCTGGGGACAGCAGACAGTGGGCCCAGGCCTGACTTGATTCCCATGTGGCCTCAGGGGAGCCCCTCTCCCTGCCTGTCTCCCTGTCCAGGACCAGCTAGGCTGACACACCCATAGCACTCTCCTCCTGACTCCAAACCCAGCCTGCCACCCGGCTGGCACATCCCCAGTCCCTCTCCTGGGAGGCCTCCTCGGCCCTGCAAGCCTTTCAACCGTGGCTCACACTGTTCCTCATTAGGACCAGCACGGAGCCAGCTTACCAACAGACTGGCCTGTCTTGTCTCCTAGGCTTACTAGCCCCTGCATAGGCCATGTATCCTCAGCTCCTGGGGGACTTGGCCCAGCATGGTGCTGGGGACATGCTGGGGGCTGCTCCTTAGGCTGGCCAGCAGCACACAGCTGGGCCATCTTCTGTGTGCACCCTGGGGTCACTTGATTCATGCCCCTGGGGCCTGGGAACAGCCCTTAGCAGGGTGGGAATGACAGGCTCCAAGGCCCGCTGAAAAGCTGGCCTTCACTGTACAGGCAACGGGGGCCTGGTTAGAGGGTGAGGCCCAGCTACGTGGAAGCCGAGTCGCTGGGCAGCACTGTCAGGAGGGATCGGGGCAAGACTGGAAACAGCGAGGCCAGAGCAGGGGTTTTTCGTGAGTCGGGAGGTAAGAGAAGCTCTAACTCGGCCTAAGAAATGGAGCCCAGGGCCAAGAGAACCGACAGCAGCTGGTGGCCCATCAGGGCCTGGGCCTCGTGGTCCCAGTTCAGGCCTCCAGCCTGGGATGGCACTAGGCTTCCACAAAACACAGACCCTGGGACTGAACAGCAGTTAATGACACAGGCTTTGGGGTCTGCAGACTAGCTCTAGTCCCCAGAGCTCCCCGTGGGCCGCGGGCTCTGAAGAAAGTTATGTGGGTTCTCTGGGCCTCGGTTTACTCATTTGTGAAACAGGTCTACAAAGACCCCTCCTCATCCAATACATTAACTAGACAGTAATGGGAAGTGAGTCACATGGAGGCTGGTTCATGCCTCTGCAGAAGGCCTCCGAGGCTAAGGGACCAAGGGGCCAAGGGGGAGGACATGGCCTGAGGCTGCCCACGCGGTGCAGGGTGCCCACATGCTCTCCCTCCTGGCGACCTTTGGGGGAGATCGTGACTATTCCCATTGTCACATGTGAAGAAACAGAGGCACAGAGAGGCCAAGTGGGGTGGGAAGCCGACACGGCAGGGCCGGCATTTGAACCCAGGCCCAGGGAGGACGTCTCGCCTCTTGGGGGAGCACGGCAGCACGTCCAGCACAGAGGCTTGAGCAAGGGGCCCAGGCTGTTGCATCAGGCAGGTGGCCCTGTCGAATCTTGGCTCCCCGGGGGACCCTCCCCCACGCTGGAAGCCCTGTCCTCATGATGGGGATGATGAAACCTCAGCTGGAATGGTGGAGGACCAAGCAGTGGCCCAGCCGGAGACCACCGACCACCTTGGGAACCCACGTTAGACACATGGGGACTTCTGCCTTCTGAATAGGACAAGGGACACAGAACCTTCTGGTCTGGGGATGGGCTGTGTGCCAGGTGGCTTACGAGAGCCCCGCTGACTGTGGCTGGGTTCTCTTGGGCTCAGCCAGGACAACCCTTTCTAGGAAGTGGGGGGGAGGCCCAGGCCCTCTGCGAACCCTCCCCTGGGTGCCCGCCACCCAGGCGGTCAGAGCCAGCATGGGGAAGTAAAGATTTCCACTGCTGGGCCTGAGGCGTAGTCCTCGGTGCAGGCTCCATGGCACACTGGTGACACCTGACCCCTGGGGTAGAGGAGCAGCTGGCCAGTTCTGGTCGCTCGGACAGTCCCATATCCCCTCTGACCTCTAACCCCCACCGCTGGACCTCCAGGCCCCTCCTCCTCTGCCCAGGCCCTCATTTCCCACTGCCCACCCTACATAACCCAGCATAAAGCAGGACATTCGTGGATCCCCAGCAAGTGTTCACTGAGAACCTGCTTGGCACTGGGAGCCAGGCCAAGTTCTGTGGCTACAACAGAGAAGTGTACAGACAGACGGGATCCCTGTCCCCAAGATCAATAAAGGGTCAGAAGGGAGGCCCGGCAGGTGCTCAGGGAACTTCTGGGGACCAGAAGCAGCCTTGCAGGTGGAAGGAGAAAGCCCGCCAGGCGGGGCTGTGATTCAGCACGAGGCAGGGCATTTCCCCACACAGCAGAGGGTCCCGGTGGTTCAGCTCCTGGCCCTTGCTTTCTGTGCAGCGCTCCTTGCCTGAGGAACGGCTACCTGGTGGCCTCCCCTGGCTGCTGCTCTCCCAGGCCTGCTTCCTCCCCTGTAAAATGAGGTGACAACCTTCGTCACCCAGGCTGCCCAAAAAGCCACACAAAGTCATGAACAGGAGACCAATGCACTCTGACAGTCCCCTCTTACGAGCCCACCGCCATTTCTGCTCCCTCAGGCAGAGGCTGGAAAGGCCACCTGCAGACTCAGGGCCCCCCTCCCTCCCTTCCAACCACTAGGAAGCACTGGGTCTCTGCCCCACCCGGCCTGGGCCAGCTGAGCCAGGGCATTCTCAACAGGTGTCCACCCCTAGGGTTCCCCATGGTGGAGAAGTCTGGCTGCCAGGCCTGCAGGAGAGGGGACCTTCGGCAGGGCTCCCCAAGAGCAGCGTGCCACTGCAGGCCCACCAGAGGGCGCCCGATCTGCAGAGGCCAGAACTGGTCACACAGAGGGAGCAGGAGGGGACACGGCTGGCTGGCTGGCTGGCGGCTGCCCTGGGAGGTCACCCTGCTTCCTTTGCCCCACGTGGCACTGGCACTCTCCTCAGCGCCTGTGCCCCTAGGGCACTTTAGAGTTCCGTGCTCTTGGGCGAGGGGGTGGGTACGGCCATGGGGGTTCAGAGGGAGCAGCTGCCCTGGAGAAGCCCTCGGTGCTGGGATGGAGGAGCCGTGGGCCATTGGCAGGGAGGGCAGTAACCCTACCCGGAGTGCAGTCTCCAGCTTTCCAGACCCAGAGGAGGGCGGCGCCCGAAGCCCTGGCCAGCATGATGCTGGGACAGCTGCTGCGTGGCCATACTCCCCCAGCTGGACGGACAGCACCCCGCCCCCACTCATCACACTGATAGCCACGCACTTTGCTTGTCATGGGCTGTAACCCACTGCATCCCCCAACCAGAGGGGGCCGAGACCCAGCCCCCAGCCTAGCCCCACCTCAGCTTCTCCAGCTTGCGCAGCTCTCTCCCCTAGCCCTTGGCAGCTGCCCAAACTCTGCCACTCTGTCTCTCGGCCTAACTCGGCCTGTGGATGTGAGCAAGTTTAGGATGGCCCCCAAGGGCACCATGGCTGAGACGGAGTGGACGTGGGAAAGGGGGCTGTGGGGCAGAGAGGAAAGCTTCCACCCGAGATCCAGGCTGGGTGGGGGCAGCTGCTCAGCCACCCTGAGAACCCACGATCTGAGAAGGGATCCAGCGGGAAGGCCAGGGATGCTCCGGCAAAAGTGCCTGTAGGGGGAGGGGCAGAGGTGGTGGTGGAGCATGAACTAAACACTGCAGAGGGCTTGCGCTTGTGTGCCCACCAAACCCGACCCACCTCCCACCCAGGAGGGAGCCCCAACAATGGCAGGGGCCCCGTAAGCACAGGGAGGCACAGGAAGGCCTGCCTTGGGGAACTTGAGAGAGGCCTCTCCAGAACCTCAGGATGAGTATCAAGGGATCTCACAAGGCAGCCTTCTGTGCGTTTGCCCCTCTGGGGGCCAGCGGGCCAGAGTCTGGCTGCCTCTCCCAGTCCCCAGCAAGGAGGGCCATGGGCCCGCCCCTCACACTGATGCTCTCTTCTCTCATCCAGAATTCCTGTGGCCCTGGTCATTCCCTGTCCCCATGTCACCATCTGAGTGTGGCCGTTACTTGCCTGCTCCCCCTCTGTTTGGCAGGAGCCCCCAGGGCAGGAGCCTGGTCTGCCCTGCTCTTGTTCCCTGTGCCCCAGTCACCCCGCACAGACCCAGTGCGGCTCCAAACACATCTGCAGTTTAAGGATGAAGCCTGGGGGTCCGGGAGGCCCTTAGGACACTGCTCCATCGCCCATGCTCACACACACTTCTGTCCCCACAGGCCTACAGGGAGAGGGTGGCGGGACTGCCGGCAGCTGCAGGGCTGAGGCCGCCTGGGAGGATCCACACTCTTACAAAGAAATGACATGGCCCCTGGGCGGGATCCAAGGCACCGACCACCTGCAGCTGGACTACAGCGACCCAGACTGCCAGGCGGGGCGAGCGCACCAGGCGAGCACAAGTTCCCCGCAGGCGTCAGGAATCCCTGCCAAGCGGCATTCCCGCTCGAGATGGCAGAGGTCGCGCCTTCCCCGCCCCCCAAGCGCACAGCTTGCTCTCTGCCTCGCAGGGGCCCCTAGGCTCCCTTGCTGGGGACCCCGCGGGAATCCCCGGGCCCGACCCTAGGCGCCTCCCCGAGAGGCCCGCACAGCTGAGCGTGAGTCCCTTGTTCGCCACGGAGCAGGGTACCGCCCGGCCCACAGCCCGGCGAGGAAAGCTCCACGGGGAACGGGCGCGTGTGCGAGTTGGGGGCTGGCGGCGACCGAGAAGAGTGGAGACCTGGGGGAGGCAGGGCGGCGCGAAGCTCGGAGGCGAGGGCCCGAGGGGATGCAAACGAGTGGAGGAGCACAGGGCCACTAGGAGCCCGGGCGGCCGGGCTCAGGCGGTGGGATTCGTGCCCCCGGGGCGAGGGGCCGCGCGGGGCAGACCAGGCGAGAGCAGGGGCCGCAGGAGAGACCCGAGCGCGCCGGGATCCGGGGCCCGCAGCCCAGCCGGGTTGGGGCCCCGGGGCGCCGCGCCCTCACTCACCCGAGATCTCCGCCTGGGGCACGTCGCTCAGGCTGAAGCCCTTGGCCCCGTAGATCTGGCGGACTTCGCCGCAGCTCCGGCTTTTGCTGGCAGGGTCCCCGCGGGCGCAAGCGGTCAGCGCGGCGGCCGCGCACAACAGCCACAAGCCTCGGGCCCGGAGCTCCATGGTGGGGCCAGCGGCGCCCCCGGCCGCCCGCCCGCGCCTCTCTCAGATCCCAGCCGGGCCCGCGAAGCTCCCGCCCGCGAAGGGCAGAGCCAAGGTCCCGGCGTGCGGCTCGCGGTCGGGAGGCCGAGGAGGCGGAGACAACAAAAGCCGGCGGCGGAGGCGCGGGGCGCGAGGTCCGGCCGCTGGGTCCGGCCGCCCAGAGCGCGGCGGGCGAGCGCGCAGTCCGGGCTCGGCGCCTCCCCCGCCGCCGGCCCGGCCCCTCGGCAGCCGGGGAGAGGGGCGGGGAGGGGAGGGGCGCGCAGGGCGGGAGAGGAGGGGAGCACTGAGCGGGGCGGGGCGCGGCGCGAGGACGCGATCCGGGGCGCACCGGGCGCTCCTCCTGCTCGCCGGGAACTGGGGGGGCCCACCTGTCTCGCGCGGATCTATCGACTGCTCGAGAGAGGCGGGGGAGCCGGGGAGAGCGCGGGCCGTGGCCAGGGTCCCCAACGGCGGGCCCCTAACGCCCAGCGCCCGGGGCGGCGGCACCACCTGTGGGGGCGGGGGCGCGGGTGCTGAGGCAGGGCTTCCCCCGCCGGACGTGACATCACGCCTTCCGTGCACCTATCACGGGCGTCCCCGCCCCCAGCCGAAATCGGCATCCCTCCCATCCTCCTTCTCCCTTGCGCCGGCCCTGCCTTCCTGCACCCTGGCAGCGCGCCCCGCGCCTCCGCTCCCGCAGCGCTTCGGTCCTGGCTGCCCGCCGCCCACACCTCGGTTCGCCGCCTCCTTCTTCGCCCGCACCCCTTTACTAGCCCCTTGCCCCCCACGCCCTTTTCATCCGCCTCTCCCACGGCTCCAACTCATACCTGATGGCTTTATGGGGGAGGATGGGGGTCTGGGTCTGTACGTGGGAAGCTAACCAAGAGACTAGACCCCACCCTCTCCCAGCCTTGTGTGGAGGCAACGACCCACTAAGGTGTTGGAGATTGTCGGCCTGTTTTTGATCCCTCCACGTGATTCTTTGGATGCTGGGGAAACAAAAGTGATGGGGCAGAAGCGTATCTATTGGCTTGGGGCGCCGAGCTGTAGCAGGTGACGTCTTGGAGAAGGGATGGGGGTCGGGGCCAACAACCCGTCAGATTGCTGGGGGATGAGGTGTGACAGAGTGACAGAGAGAGAAAATGCCAGGAGACCTGCTGAGTGAGGCTGGCCCAGCACCAGGCGGGGTCCGTGGCAGTGCCCTTAGCTGCAGAGCTGGGTGGGGACAGGGGTCTGTGGGAAGGGAGGTGAGAAGCTGAGGGTGCTGGTACCTGGATGGCTTCTCGATTTCCTTCTTTGTGAGCTGCTGCAACCCTCCCCCCGGCCTCCTACTCCTGGTGCTGCCATGTGGGCAAAGATCCCAGAGACCACCAGGTCTAGGCCAGGCCGTGAACCCACATGCCTGATTGGCGGAAATGGGGGAAGCAAATAAGTTGGCACCATTGGCAGAGGACCCCAAGATAACTGTCACTTGGCACTAAGGGTGCCCGAACCTTGGGGTTGTAGTTTTACCTCATAGCAGAGAACTGGCCCATGGGGTTCTGCCAACACCCCCCACCCCATGCCTGCCAGCTTGCGGGCCACTGTGGGCTGTGAGCAGGAAGGTGGGCTCCATCCCTCCCCTGGGGCTCTCTGAGCTGTTGACTCAGCAGCCCCAGAGGCACTTGGGGTCTCCTGCCCTGCTTCCCAGAGAAGGCCGCTCTCTTCACCCGGAGACACTGAGTCATTGCGTGAGCCGGAGGTTGCGGGGACCCAACCCAAGTGTACAGCCCTCCTGCCCTCCCCATGCACCTGCTCCTCATCACATGAGTAACTCACAGACCCCCATGCAGCACCAGCTTCTTGCCTGGATCTGCACGGCCGCCTGGACCCCTCCCCCAGTGCCTGCCTGGCTCAGGCCCCTGTGATAGGATGAGGAACACCTGGCCCAGGCCCTCGAGGTAGGAGCTCACCTCTGGCCCCGTGCTTCTGGATCAGGCAGGAGCGGACTGGGGTTTAACTGTGCTTGAGGCTCAAGAGTCACCTACTCTTTCTATTGTTATTGTCATCCTTGTCACTGTTACTTCCTCTTAATCTGACCAGACTGGGCAACTCCTCAGTGTCCAGTGCATTTCCCGGCCTCCAGACAGCAGCGTGGCCAAACTGTCCACGTGTCAGGCTCACACGGCACGTTTCCAGGATGTGGTGGTCGTGGGCATGTGCCCTGCCGGAGTACGTCCCAGGTATATGATGGCTCCGTCCCCCAGAGAAGTCCTTACCACCACCTGCAAGGTCGCTTCACAGATCGCGACACTCCCAGTCAGGGCCCTTCCCCAGAGAGGAAACGTTCCCCAGCCGATTCTGAGCTCCCATTGCCTTGATGTCGAGGGCAACGGGGTAAGTGAGGAGCACAGCGTCCCTTTTGAGAATGGCTGTAAGGAAGACGGTGGGGATGGCCCATGTAGACCGGCAGGCACCCAGCAGGGCGCAGGTGGCCCACAGCCTCCCCTCCCTCGCCCAGGGGTCTGGGGCTCTGGCTGATTATTCTGGATAGCTTTGTGGGTGCTCAGCCTGCCGTGCTTGAGGTTCAGGCTGGGCTGGGGCAGAGGTGCCTGGGTGTCAGCGGTCTGCATGGCTGCCCAGGGTGCGTCGTGCCTCCCACCAGGGCAGTTTCTTCCCAGCTTGTGCTCCTCAGGTGGCCTCCGGCCCCTTTCTGGTTGAAAGCGACAGAAGGCCAACTGGAGGAAAAAATGTAAGCAGAAAGCAAGTGCATGGTCTCCTGTCTGTCACTGACGCTAGCTAGCTCCCTGGTCCAGTCCCTCAGTAAAGGAAGCTGAGACCTGAGTTCAAATCTGGGCCCCACCACTTACCAGCCATGTGATTTTGGACGCTGCACTCGGCTTAGTCTCCTGATCTTTCCTGTGAGGATTTAGGAGAGGAACTGAGAGACGCGCTCCCCACGAAGCCTGGCCCGTGCCCTGCAGGATAGATGCTGCCGCTGTGACCAGCATGGACCCAACTTTGAGTGGCCCGCCCTCGGGCCAGGGAGAAGGGCCGTGATAAGGGGCCCTGCCGTGGTGTTGGTCCCTGGCCCAGAAGGACAGCAGGGGCCAGTGCTTTCAGCTCTCCCTGGGGCTGGCACCTGCCAGAGCCTTGATGACCAGAAGGAGCGAGGCCATGTGCAGCTGACCGCTAGGTGGTCATGGCTGGAGGCGGCTCTGTGGAAGGCTGCCGGAGGCGGGTGACGGGGGCTGCACGGAGAGGAGATGCTATCTGCATCCCCAGCGCTCCTCCCCTCTTTTCCCTCCAGTTTTCCGGCCCATGGGGCCTCCTCCCTTGCTCCCCACCCAAGGGGTGTGCTTACATCCTACAGACATGTGGACATCATTACTGGGCAAGGGCAACGGTTCCATCCCAGGTCATGCAGCCCAGAGGAGCTGCCCCAAGTGCTGGCAGCCGGGACCTCCTGTTCCTGAGACACAGGCTGCCTCTGCCAGGCCTGCGCTGCTTACCACTGTGGCCCTGGCAGTTCAGATTTAGGATCGGCCTAGGACCACCCAGGATGAGGTAACCTGGTGCTGCCAGGCCAGGGCACAGTTTGGCACAAGCAGCCGGGGCCTTGGGAGCCAGGGCCGGGTTACATTGGTGAGGGGCCATGTCAGCCCCCCAGGCCGAGGTTTCACCCTGTTCTCCCCCAACCACCACACCGCACATGCCCTCCATCAGCGTGGTCATTGGGGTGGGGTCTCTGTGGGAGTCCCAGAGGCTGAGGTGGGGGCGTGGCCGACAGAGCCCTCCCCGTTTGTGCCGCTTGCCCATCCAAAGAGGGCCACTGTGGCTCTGAGCAAGACACCCACTCATACTTTGGGGTCCTCGCCCATCCGGACCATGTGGGCACAAACGTGTGATGGAAGGAAGGAAGGAATAAGTGAGCTGTTTATTCATAAGAAGGGAAAACTGCATTGTCCCTAAGAAGTGGGTGTGTGACCGAGACTGGGTCTGCCCTTCTGCTGACACCAAGTGAGGGCTGAGAAGAAAGGGGCCATTTAGAATCATGTCAGAAGGGGAGTGTGGGCTCTCCCGCGTTTCCGTCTTCTTGAGGAGTGACCCCTGTCCTGGAGGGCAGCACCCACCCCCTCCCCCACTTCCTGCCTCTGGCCAGGCGGGATCGGGGATGCTGGGCCCTGACTGCTCTGAAGACATGGGAGTCAGCAGGTCACGAGTTCCCAGGTGTCAGGGCTGTAGGCCTGCTGGCCTCCACTTCTCCCTCAGAAATGATTCAGCTTCTGTTCCCTTGGGGTTCCTGTGAGCCAGCGCTCCCCTTCTAGCTACTGGGGAGCGACCGAGTTCGTTCTCTGTTGGGTGTCTTTTGGCAGCCTCTGAAGCGAGTTTCCAAAGAGACTGAGCAGTTAAGGTGGCTTCCCTCCATGTGTGCCTGCTCAGCATGTCAATGCCAATGGCGTCCCCTGACAAGGGCTCGTCCTGCTGGCAAGTAAGATGCCTGGGGTCAGAGGGCGTGGGGCATGGATGGCTGGGCTGTGGCGCCTGGGCCCACTGAGGCCCTGGGAGGAGTTGTGACGTGCTGGGGGGCAACGGAGGACACAGAGTCCCCACTCCTATGCAGGACACTGAGGACCCCTGGGCAGCAGCCTGAGGGAGGAAGTGGATGCCACAGGGTGTGGCTGATGGAGAGGAATTCGACCCTGGGCAGGCAGGGCTTTCTGCAGACCATCACCAGGGTTCCTATTGGAAAGAGGCGAAGGCTCGCTCCATCACCCTGTCACTTGGAAAAGCCTTGGAGCTGGGAGGGGGAGCCACCCTCTGGGCCTTTGCTGCCTTGTAGATGCCACCAGTTTACACTGGCTCCCTGCCTCTCGATGTTGATTCGTAGAGAAAACGCAGGAGTCACTGGTCGGCTCAGGGAACCTGTCTGGTCTCCTGTTCTTATAAAGGACCTCAGCCCAAGACCGCCCCCAGGGATTGTTCCAGCCCACACTGAAATGTGGTGCTGATCCTGGCTCTGCCTGGAAACTCAGTGGAACTCTGGAAGCCCTCCCACCCCACGCTTGGGCCTGGTCCCCAATCTAGAGAAGCTAGCTCTGAGTCTGAGCTGCAAGGCACCCTTGCTCCCCAAATTGGGGGGGTGGGGGGGCTGGGTGGGGGGAACTGCTGCTCAGGAGCAGGGGTGGGGTGGAGGAGGCCCCACGCTGAGCGCGGAGTTGGCAGGACAGAG